CCGGAGACAGTCACATGTAAGCCTCAGGGTAAGGTGGATTTCAAGCAGGATGTGTACTAATTAAGATAAAAGTCGAGACAAAGTTGTTTTTATGAAAGTGTATATCATACACTTTCATAAAAACAACTTTTATCTTAATTAGTACACATCCTGCTTGAAATCCATCTTACCCTGAGGCTTACATGTGACTGTCTTGGGAACTGTGAACAGCTGTTCTCAAGGTCATCCGGTTGTAAACACTGTAGACTGTGCATGTCAAGTTACAGTTGGTCTCAAATAAAATAATAATAATAATCCCAGCAACTTTATTTTCTAACTAAAAGCATTTATTTTGAATTTTAATTTTTAAGTAGCTTTTAAGTGTAAATAAATAAATATATATATATTTAAGAGCAAATGAAAATGAATTTAGAGTATACATAAATTGGGTTTTGTTTGAATTAAGGATTAATATATTAAAATATACATATATATAAAATAAATTTATGATTTCTTTTGAATGATGATTTTTTTCAGTATAAATTTGAATTGGTCATTTGTCTTAGTATAAATATTAAAATTAATTTTTTAATGTATATGTGTTGGAAAATATAAAAAGTGTATGATGATGATTATTTTTTTTCAAATCATATGAAAAACTATCGTAAATTATATTTTTAATTTCACTTTATCTTTGAGAATAATAATATCTTATAAATAAAGGGAAACTTTTATTTTTGTCTGTTTTTGGCAGCATTATATTTATGTAAAGCATTTGTAGACACATTTCTGTTTGGATTTGTGGGCATCATTGAATTTTGTTTTGTTTTTTGTTGCCCTTTTTTTTTCTTTTTTTGAAAATATCTTTCTCTTTTTACTTATGCAGTTCCCTAGAAACTTTTAATCATATTTTAATAGAAAAGAATTGTGAAAGCTTGCAGATTTTTTTCAAATGACCTTAAAAGATTATTTTAGCAAACAAATCAGTGGCATTACAGTCTACAAACTGATCTGCCACTGAAATTATTACAAATTATTTAATATAGTATTTGGTTACTTTTGTTTTGGAAATAGTACATTAATAAAGCAATTTCATTGACATGATCTAAAATTATAAGCAAATAGCTAAAATTGGCTTTGGTGTCATCAGTATTTAATTAGTTACTGTCCATCTGCATGATGGTAGTAACTGCTAATTTTAACATAAAACCTAATAATGCATGAATATTTTGAAAGTTTTGTATTTAAAAAGTATTTTCTTACTTAATTTCAATGTTACTTTGAAGTATAGTTATTATTTCTTGAAATAATATCACTTTAAATTGTTACAAATATAAATGTCAATAAACTTGAATTTTAGATTGATGTCAAATGATTATTAGATTACATCTGGCTATATTAATGCTACTAATTACTAATTAAATATCAAGTAATTTGCCTAGAGGTAGGTATTAGGTGTTATCTCTAAATAAATTTGATAATTATTATTAAATATCCATTCTGTTTCAAGATACTTAAGTGAGTGGGATTATCTACTGAGTATCATAATCCAATTTTTCCCTACTGCATTTTCTGTGACTGAAAAAGTTCAGGAAAATTTAATTTTTTCAGATATTTTCAAAATTCATGAAAAATCTATGTTGAAAGTAAGACTTGGCATCTCAGACACCACACAACCACTGGAAGCTAGATATCAACAACTTCATACAATGCACGAATAATAATTATATTATGTTACGTAAATATAGCAAGTCATCTAAATTTTTTAATTCCGCTTTGTCATCATCAAACTGATATGAAATTTTGTATTATTTCAGTGAAAAACAATTCTTTTCTAATTCACACTGTTTGGATGTTTCTGTTTAAGACATTTATTTATTGAATTAAATTGCTGACAGCAGATATTGAAATTTGTTATATGGGTAACCTTGTATAACATGTCACTGCTATAGCACGGATTCATTCTAACACGGTTCGAGAATTGGGTAAAACCCTCGTACAACCTGAAATGTAATAAAGGGTATGTTCTTTTATACATCCGCATAATTCCTTGCAAGCATTCTAATTGTTTTTGTGGCTACTTTGAATGCTCTTTCAACAAATAATTCATTTAATGGTTAAATTTTACAATTGGGACTCTTCTTTTGCCTCTAAAAGCTTATTTTAGAATTATAGATTCCTCCATCATGATACTATCGATAGTGCGAGCGCCGCCGTCTTCCTTTTACCGTTGTTCCTAAATGCCTACAAACAGCAGTGCACTCCCGTTGCAGAGCAGCCGCTATTAATGAACGCACGCAAAAACTGTTACCAGTTATGATGCTCAAGCTAAGATCATCATATAGGATGAATAATCCTCTAGTAAAATAGAAGTGTAATGTGTAGTTTATGCATCTTCTGTGTTGACATTTGTTTCTGATTTTTTCAAACATGTTGAAAAGAAGAAAACTCAAAATAAACATTTATTGATTTCACACATTAGCTAGCAAGTATAATATTAAATATTATGATAGTTGTACTTAAATTATCCTTCTGCTCTTGTAGGAATATTTAATGAAAAATTGAAAACTATCCATTCAACACAATATAAATTCTTAAACAGAAAAGAACAGTTTTTTCTTGTAGAAGTTTCTTGCAAAATTGTAAAAATAAATTAGGATAAATATTTAACAAAATAAGACATATATTTTAAATAACATTATTGCTAATTGGCAATCTTCAGGCATTGAAAAAGAAACGTTTTCAGCTAATCAGCCCAACTGTGGCTGATTAGTTGAAAATCTACTGATTTTTTTCTGTTACTTTAACTTATGTTGATGAAAAACTTTATGGAAAGTGGAACATGGCATGTAATGCCTTATATGTTACTAGATAGTTTTCTAATGGTGCATTACATAAATGAGGGTTCAGTTAGTGCCAGAACTGGACTTTATGAAGGCAATAAGTAATGAAAATTGTTAATAACTTGAAAAAACCAAAATTACTATACACAATAATGAAAAAACCTGTTTTTTCCTTTAAGCCCAAATGTGTACAATAACAAAATAAAGTTTGCAAAAAATTCAAAATATAATAAAAAGATATTTTATCAAATCAAAAAACATATATTTATGTATTAACAATAGAGTTATGGAGTTAGATAGATGAAAGACAAGACCATATTTGAAAAAATTAGGAACTGGAGGTCCCAATTAACTATATACAAACTTCTGATGCAAACTGAAAGTCATATTATTTCAATTCAAAACTTCTCCCAAAAGCTGGCAGATAACCAGCTTTTGGGAGAACCAGTGTCGAAGGACATTCTCAGACGTCTCAGGAGGACAAGGGTTTAAAGTAGGGTGAATACTAGCTGACGGTATATTTTTAATTATTTAAAAAAAATTAAAATTTTAATTGCAATTTCCAACCCCCTCCGATTTAATTAAACTTATATATAATAAAATATATTAATTAAAAAAAATTAAAAAACTATTGGAGGTCATTTTTGACATCAGAAAGTAGCTTTAAATAACTTTACCGAAGTCAAATCCGTGCACTACAACTTTAGAACGATTAATTAATTTTGATAAAAAAAATCGCATTAAAAAACAATTAAGCATTAATCGCACGTCATTAAAGGTTGATTAAAATCGCGATAAAATTTTGCGTGGGTAAAAATTTTTGAAAAAATTTGGGAGGGGGGCCAAAAGGACTGCGTTTTCTGTAACGCTATGTAACCTGCCTGAGTTAACTCGGGTCTGGACATTAAGTAATTTGTGTCATTGTTCTTACATTTAAGCTTTTAGTTTTTTTATTGTTCTTTTTGGTGACAATTTGGGGTGGAAAATCATTCTTTTAACTTTTTGTTGAAGTCTTTCCAAGATGATGTTTTTTGGGTTCGATGACATAACAGGTTGCCACCAGCAGTCATCATAGTGAGGTGACTGCTATAGTTTTCAGAATTTAGGATTTTGTCTGGGTGAGGTGTGGTTGTCTATCCTTAACAAAATAAAATGCCCCAAGATAAATAAGAAAATGAACAAAAAATAACTCTTAAATAAAACATAACTGGTTGTGATTGATTCCTTATAGGCATTCCCATTTGTTTTATGTCTGTCTAATAGATATTTATGCACTTTGAGCAAATGCTTTGAAATTTCTTCTACTCATTATTTGGATGCATATGTTTTTTTTTTCTATATGTTTTTTCACACACTACCTGTGGCAAAGGAACTTATCACACCTTGCCTTCATGATGATCTTATATGATTTATTTATATGTAAGCAGGTAAAACAAGCATCTTATTAGATGCTTATTTTACCTGCAAACATATAAATGGCACTTGCACATAAATTACTGATTTTACCTCCAAAAATCAATTAATTGTGCTCTTGTGGTAATGCCATATTTTCTTTTCTGATAGCAGTGTTCAATTCTGCATTGGAAAGATTTATATATATATTGTGGTATATCTTTGAGAGTTTTAGTATTTAATGAAATAGCATGAAAATACTATTATTTTATTTTTGACACCTAGAACTTTCATTGTTTTATGTATGTTGATGCCCTGTATATTGAATAAAAAAACATTTAATGTACTGTACATCCATGTAGTCAGAAAAAACAAAATGCACTTAATAAAAACTATGTTTACATGCAAGCAATTATTTAAGTTATTTTAAACATAATATGATATGGCAATGTTTTGTTAGTATTTTGGATAGGCATGAATAATTTAATATGCATCAAAAAGCAACAAATGAAAAATATTTGAAATGATCAGCTTCTGATGAATATGTCAACTAAATAAAAATAAAACTCAAACTACTAGTTAAGAAAATCAAAATTTTATAAAAAATGTTTTTATCCTTTTGATTGGCCAGTAGATAGTTTTATTTTTATTTATACTAATTAATTTTTAAAATATGTTTATCAAATAATATATTTAATAAATAATAATTTTTTTAACACTGAATAGTTTTTGAATTTTATATGATATTTGTTTTTTGTAATAATTGAGGTATATGTTTTCACACAGCTGACCATGAATGATTTTAGTGTTCACAGAATTATTGGACGAGGTGGTTTTGGAGAGGTGTATGGCTGTCGCAAAGCTGACACCGGAAAAATGTAAGTTTTTAAAATAATAAATATAGTTTTAGATGTTTCATATAAAATGGTTTTAAGAAAATGAAAATAATTTGAAGATTAAAAATAAATAACAAAATAATACTAATTTTAGAGTATGTCAACTCCATGAAAATGACAAGAAAAACCCAAATGCTAAACTGACTAAAAGAGTCAAAGTTCATTGGATTAAACATTTTTTGGGATTAAACAGGGCTTAAGAAAACATTCGAATTGGCATTTAAGAAGAAATTTATGGACATTACTCAAATTTGCCAATTTGAATTTGAGTCTGATGATGGGATGGTGGCATCCTAAAAAGTGTTTAATTTAATAAGGTTTTTGATTCCTTCAGATAGTTCAATGTGTATGTTATTTTTGATAAAATACAGTAAAACTTTCATAACTCAAGTTACAATAAGCAGGAAAACTTTGATTTACAGAACAATAGAGTAAAAAATGCCCATTCTGAATAATTTGTATTTTTACCTCTCTTACATTATATAAAGAATTTTTTGATAGTTTTGTTTTTGTTTTAAACAGCTCATGTAACACCTTTCAGCAAAATTTTCATTGTAACAAATGGAATTAAACAGTTTTGCAGGTACAGTGAAAACTGCTTAGGCGACCACCCGCATTCGACGGGCACCTGCCAAAACGGGCAAAAATTTCTGGCACGGAATAGTTTATCCATAGAGTCTTTGTATAAGTTACCTGTATTAAACGACCACCTGCGTAACGCGACCGCGGGCATCGATTTTTGGTCCGAAACAACATACAACACCTGTAATAAGCGACCACTTTCGCGAATGTATCTGGTCTAAACTATTGTAAGAACCCATCTCAACAACGTTTCCACCTCCTAATATAATGAATTAGTCTAAACTCTCGTTCGAACCCATCCCGGGCACTTCTCCCACCCTTGAAATTAGGTGCAGGTGTTAATAAATTAGTCTAGCAACAAAGGAAATTCATTTCAGTTTGTTGGAAAATGTCCGAAATGCAAAGTGCTGTCGTTAGAAAATCGTATTAAAGTTATCACAACAGCAATTAGCGGCAAAGTTTAACTGTGGGGGAAAAAAAAAATTTATTTTACCCTAGACCTACAGTATTTTCCTTGGGGGTTTAAAATATTGTACACGATACAATTAATCGGCTGATCTCATCGTTTGATAAAATCTATTTTTATTTATTTATTTTAATGCTCATATACAGTACACGTGCGATAAATAGTTTCTGTATCAACCTACCTTATTTCCACCATATTTTTAGAAAAATAATATCCAAGTAATTTTCACAGGGAAAATATTCAAAAAACAATAAACGCATTAATGCAAAAATCAGTTTTACTTCCTTTTTCAATTCCGCGATTGTAATGAAATCGTATAATGAGAAAAAATAATAAAATCATTTTATTATTAATTAATAATTTTTCTTATAGTACTTAATTAATTAAGAAAATATTAATTATTAAAAAAATACAGTATTTTTAAAGTTAAAATAAGATTAAACTAACGAAAACCAAAAGCAAAGTGATGGAGAGATACGACGCGCTTGTATATTGATGACGTAATACACGTAACTGAGGAGCGAACGAAAAGAACCGAGTCGAATTAATTAACTCGGAAAAAAGAAAGTGTGCATTATAATCGAAAAAATGCGAGTATTGTATTAATCTTTAAAATATTGGTGTTAAATCTGTCCTATAATATCACGACGACTTCTGTAAATCGAGTTATCCGATAAGAATAAAATACAATACCAATATAGCCCTATCGTTGAAAAAATTCGCTTATTTTTGCTCACCTCGAGATTTGTTTAGTAGAAATGGCTAGAAAGTGCGCAAAATACGTACAGAAATAAGGTATTACAGCACCACCTGTATTGGACGACCGCCTGTCTAAAATACCACTTTTTGAAGGAACCGTGGGTGGTCGCCATAGACAGGTTTTACTGTATATCTTCTGATAAAGCCCTCTTGCTTTGGACTGGAACATTGTCTAAAAATTGGTGTTGGAGAGTTGATACCATGGTATGAAAATTGTATGAGAATTTGATAATTTGGATTATTTTGGATAGAATAAATATTAAAATTTGAGTCTGGGAAGTTGAAAGTCACATAAATCAATGTCGGGTACCATGAAAAACTTCTACTTGGAGAAAATTTGAATTAAGAAATTCAAGTTGGAGACATTAAATTCCTATGCTGTTTCATTGAGACCTACCAAGTGATTCGTTTTTTTTTTTTTTTTTTTTGAGTTAAAGAAATATTTGAGGTGGAGAAGTGTTACTGTACTACTGGTGTAAGAAAAATAAATTTAAATGTATTAAAGATGTACTCAAGTTTTTGACTCAACTTTATTCATTACCCTAACAAGCAGTTTCTTTAACACATTAAGTTTTGCATTTTATTTGTTTTTAAAGAGAATCTTGCAACATTTTTTAATACAATTGGAAATATATGATTATAATTTTTTTTTAGTTTTTGCACTTTGTTTATTTTAACTCTTTTGCTAATTTAACTTGGAATATGCACCCACTATATTTCCATGTATCCATCTATATCTATTTTCTGTCTACATTCAATAATCCCAAATTTTTCTCACACTTCCAGCAATAACTATTTTTATTATTTTAAACATTTTTGGTCTGTTTCAGAGGCCTGTTTCAGGTTGCAATTCATTTTTGTTGCATATTGAATGTTGGCCAAAATATTTTAAAATTTCGAATTTTAAATTAAATTTTATTCTTTTGATTTCATGGTATTCAGAAACAATTATACAGTCGACCCCCCTATAACGTGGGTTCCTATAACGGAAATTCCTATAACGTAGCGAAAAATTTGTAGCAATATTCGTATAAAGGAACTCCTAAAATGTCGTCGCCGACTCGTGTCGCGACAAGATTGATCGAATCTGGACCAATAGTGGACGAGTAGCCGAACTACTTTCTGCCGTTTAGCGCCACGCTACGGAGAGATTACTATCGTCTGTAGAGTATTATATATAAATTAGGTACTGTACATATAATTATATATGAATTATATATAAATTAGGTACTGTATATATAATTATATATTAACTTAATTTATTGTAACTTTATTATAATTATATATATAATTTCTGCCGTTTAGCGCCACGCTACGGAGAGTTTAGGCTAGTAAGTTGAGTTTATTATTGTCTGTACAGTATGTAAATTAGGTATTGTAAGTCTAATACAGTACTATAATTTTATACATTTTTTGTGAAAGAAACATTTCTCATTCAACGGCCATAAAAATTATTTATATTAATGATGTCTCCAAAGGTCAAGTTATTTTTCTGCGAAAAATTCGTTATCAGAAATCGCGGCCGCCGTTTCATGCGCTGTTCCGCGACGAAAACAAGCTTGAGCAACGGCGTAGTCGAACGGTGCACACTCGGTATGTAATCCTACAATTTTTTGTTTATAGCATAGTTTATATGGATTATTCCCAAAAAATTATGTGTGTTTTGGAAATATTGAGTGGAATTAGTCTAGAATCAGTTAATTTTATAGAAGAAAACCTTTCAAACAGCCTTAGTCCGTAAACTTCACACGTGTCGGGCTGCGATTGGCTCATGTATTTAATGATTCCTACAATGTAAAATTCGAATAACGTGGAACGTATCTAAGCATTATAGGGGGTCTACTGTAATACATGTTTTAATCTTACTAATTTAACGAATGATAAAAATAATATTACTGTAAAAGCAAGTAATAATACTCTGTAAATATTATACAAAAATATCATAACACAGAAAAGCAATTCAGAGGTTGACTTTCTAGATATTAATATAAAGTTACAAAGAGAACATATTGAAACATGGAATATACTGCAAACCAATGTGTTGTTATTTTTTATTTAATCTGTATCCAATGATTCGTACAGTTATAAGGTGTTAATAAGAAGGACATATACATACTGTTCAGACCTGAATGATACCCTAAAAGAATTATAATTCATAAAGAAGGTAACAGTAGTACATGGATACAGTGAGAAACTTCTGACAAGGAGAATAGAAAGTAGTAGGATTAAGCCTCAACAGAATAACATAGAGATACAATCCACAATACTAGGGAAAGGCACACAATTTTTGACTATCACCCAAAATTATGTTCAACATATGCACAAATAGCTAAGTATGCAAATGCTAGAATAACATGTAGATGCAATCCTACTGTTTACAGAAACTTGTCCAATGCTAAAGATAAGATAAACAAAGAAGGGGCACCTGAGGATCTGTAAAGTTCCCATTTATGACATCAGGTTTAGCAAATTTAACAAGTTAAATTTACAAATAGATCCTGGACTCACAAGATTAAGAAACACTAATATGATATAACAAGTTTTTATTACGAGTGACAACACTATGCAAGTGAACTAGGGGTGTTTGTTAATTGGAACAAAGCAAGCCCAATAAAATGAGTATGTGATGAACACAAACTCGAGACTTCGGAGAAATATTCAGTGCAAAGCATTGAATATTTCCAAAGTTTCTAATATCTTATGAAGTTTCTAAAAATTTAAATGGAAGAGCATTAATAGTAAGATCCCAACATGTCTTCTGTTGCATAGCATGCATTAGTTGATAATCTATTAAGCATTAACATTGGACATTCAAATCTCAGTTAAACATTATATTTTGTATAACATTTATATTGTATTATTACTTGTTTATATCATAGGTTAAATAATACAGCTTAAAATTTCTCACCAAATATCACATAAAAGAAAGTAAAAACACCATTGAGTGTGGCATTAACAGCTTTTTATTTTAGATAGCATTTTCAATGAACTTATATTTATCATCTTAAGGCAAACAAGATTTAAAAGATAGAACATAATATTCTAATGTAAATGGAATAAATATCATGTAAATAGAAATTAAAAGTCATTATGTGCATGTTACAAAAAATTGATTATGCTATTAAACTACTATTAAATTATTATTTAACCATTTGTATAGGGCAGCTCACACACT